GGCTGAGAGCAAAACGAATGGGAAGTGAAAGCTGCTGCTGTTTGTGTAACTCACCGGTCCTGAGGGGCGTCTGTTCGTCGTTTCATCCTGGTGTCGGCGTTTGTTTAGACTCTACGGGCAGTGGGAGAGAAAAAAGGGTCAGCCATGTTTCCAAAAGCTGTGAGGGGCTGGCTAAATACAACCGGCTCTCGAGACGCTGTATAGTGCATACATGTCACACATTTACATCTTATCATTTAAGCCTTACTGACAGATTTTTTTCATTTACTACAGCAACATTCGGTTGACACACTTCTCTCCATCTGTGTCAGGGGTTAAATATGTAGGTAAACTTCTGTTTGTGACATAAAGCAGAGTTTCACTCCCGCTTGAGATCAAAGTGGACTGCAGCATGTAAAATGACTTTGACATTCCTCGTTACTTTCTGGGTTAAACTTACTTTGACTTAACCACGTCATGTGACATAAGAATGAACCTAGCAGCATGTAAGCAGCCATGAATGACAGGAGTGCATACATCTAATTAAACAACCTGACTAAGTGCAATTTCAACGATTTTCAATAGAGGCGATGGAAACAGCAGCAGCTGGAACAAGTTCAGCCTCTCTCCAATGTGTCCACCGTTAGTCATGAATTTGACTTCACGCCTTGTGTACACACAAATGACTGCAGCACAGCCTCGGGGAGGACAGACAGGTATTGAGTTCTCACTGGAAAAAGCCATTTCCACTCACTCACAGGAGGACATGTAAGGCTGCTCCACTGTTTGTTTTCTAAACTCACTTTTTTAAATTCAATAAACACAAAAAAATTAAACACAATATTCATCTCTTTTCTGTAATGGTAATGAAAATGTACTTCACTGGCTGACATAATCATTACCACATCACTCATGCCGCTACTAAATTAAAAGCAGAGCTGTAAATATTGGGCGGGCATATCCAAACGATAAAGCAACAAAGACGATACTTTATCTCTTAGATACAGTATCATTCATCATGGGAGGATAGTAACAGAAACAGCACTAAACACTATGAACCTGCTGGGATTTGCTCTTCATTTACTCTTTCCGCACCACCTGCCCACCTGGCAGTGTGACAACAACAGCCCATCAACCATTTACGGCTGAGAGGTTACTGGGTTGTGATGTTCAAAGAACCAAAAAAGGATACCTCGTTTACATCAGGATATATTTGGTTTTATTAAAAGGCCCCATACTGCAGATGCCATCATATTCAGGCTTTAAAACTGGCTGCATGGGAAACTTTTTTATGAGAGTAATCAGAATGCAATAATGTTGCTTAATAAAAACACTGACGGCTATTCTGCTTCTGGATGACTGGCTGAATGCTTTACCCAGACCACAGAGTACATGACAAAAGCAATACACATTTCACATGAAGGCAGGACAATAAACTACATGTGTGACCTCCGACCTGATTCTCAGTTCCTGTTGGGCCCCTTAGGGAAGTCAGTCTAACACCCTGTGCCTAATTAAATGCCTGTTGTTGCCGTTTGGACAGACTGTGTTTCAGTGGCCCTAAAATCTGACACTGGCATGTTTAATTTCTCTCTCACTGCCATAAATACTCGTAATGTTCCCGTAATCCAGTCTTGACTAATACTGTGTTGTATCAAGGATCAGGGTGACTTTGGCGATCCTTATGACAGGATGTCTCATTCATACAGCTATAATTCTTAGTTTTACAGCACAGTCGTATTTCTGTCTAATAAGAGACAGATTCAGAAGCAGCTTGCGTTGATTTCCTGGAGGACCAGGCTGTTTGTTATGCAGCTGTGAAGGAGGATGTAGTATGGTCTATTCTTTCCCCCCCCCACCGAGTTTCATTTACACTTCTTTGTCATGGTTTGGTTTTCATCTGTAAAACTTGTTATTGACACCTCCTTCCAACAAAGGCAGGTGTGACAGACCAACAAACCACTGTTACAGTTGAGTTATAGGTCCTCACTATTATGAGTGTCCCTGATCGTCTATAAATGGCTGGGTTTATACGCCGGTCTACTCCTCGCTTTGTTAGATAAGCTAAAAATCCATGTGTGCTTCCTCCCTGGTGAGACAGTTGGTTGAACACCCTCTGCCCTCTTCCCTCAGTGACAGAGCTTTCAAAAGCCATCATTCACTAAATCAGCCTGGTCAGAGTCGTTACAGTCCAACCAAACAGGACTTTTTAAGCAGCGGAGCAGAACTAATTAAACTGAACTGGTAAATCATGAACAAGGCTAAAGTCATGGGGCCATAAAAAGCTGCCAGCTTCATATTTTTAAACATATTGTAAAAGACATGCAGGTAAAAATGCCTCAGATGATCACAATGCTGCGGTTCGACAATGACTACCTGGCGGCACCTTCAAAGTTATTTAAAAACATCTAGAGGTACAATTTACAAGTACACACTGCTCTCTGTACACTCGGTGTTGGGTGTGCCACGTGTCCCATCAAGGACACAGTGATACAAACACATCCAGGGGTCATTTAAAGTCAAGGCTTGAAGCAGACATACAGCGATAGGGTCACACGACCTTGTCTAGGTCTACATGTCTCATCAGCAGCTCAGCTGGTTTCGTTGATAAGCTACTTCTCAGCTGCTGAAATCACGTGTATGCCCACTGTTGCGAAACACAGGAAGTGTATTTAGTCTGTGCTGATGTTACTCGTTTCTTTAGATGAAATAATCAATCTCCACAATCAGCAGGAAACAAAAACACTAGGTGGCTATCAAACGCTCCGATCACAGGACCCGATCAATGAAGAGACTGCAGATCGCTCACAAACACGATACTGTCAGCGCCTAAACTTGTAAGAGTAAGAAAAAAAATTACATGTGTAGACCGACGAAAGGACAAAAACACCTAAAAACAGCAAACATAAATAAAAGCTAGACATCAATTAGTAAAATAATTTATAAAGCCCAAAAACAACCTAAAGAAATGTTTTGGCAGGTTTACATATAAGAGCTGACGACTCATTTAATATTCTAGTCTGTTGCCCTGTCGTCTTTATTAAGAAGGTGTGCCCGGCCCTCTTTCACCTTCAAAAACAAGTAGGACAAGCAGGATAAGAGGGGCATTTTGCTCAAGTCGCAGACACTCCCAGGTCTGTGAACTTTAAGTAAATAACTGCCCAACACAGCTCACACACAGCTAGGCTTCAAATCCAGCAGCTACAATGAGGCAGTCACTCCCTGGGGTGAAGCTATAATTTGAGTATTAGTCAGAAGTTGGTACCAGACTCTGAGTGTTTAACTTGAGAGCTCGGAGGCATTTAAACAGGATATGAGTGTTGAAGATAACAGCTGATGTTGGCTGACAAGCATTTATTCTGCTCCTAGCAACGACAAAGCAATATTTGTGTCCTTTTCATTTTGGGACAAAACCTAATCTGTCTCCAGATATCAAAGTTACTCAAAACACTGTAACGAAGGCTTTCCAATATACTTAAGTAATGCATTCACACGCGCTTTATTTCTTTCACTGTCAGACATCACTAAACATCTTAAAGACACCTTCGGGCTAGCTATGTCGAGATGCTGGGGCACAGGAGAAGCCATGAAAAAAGCCGTAATGGTATTCTGTCCTGCTCCTTCACACACACCTCCAGAGTTACACAGCACAAGGAGCTACTTATAAGCAACAGCTGAGGTCAGGTGCAACTAAGCTCTGTAGGTGAAATGGTGCAAGCATGAATCTTTTTTAAGTCAAGAATAGAAAAAAATGCAGCTCTTCCTTATAAATGGCTACGCTCAGTGAAAACACATCAAATAAATGAAACCAAACCAATCGGGCCAAATTAGGTCAAGACATTTGGGAACTACAGAGTCAGTTTTATTTGTCACGAGCTGCTTCTGTTGTCTGTAATAACAAATCCTAAGTCTAGACAATCTGGCCCTTAAACCTCACACAGGATAACATTCATCTGTCAAGTCTCGTCTTGTATTTAAGTGTAATCAACGTACAACAAACCCTGAGGGAACTGTATCCCTTCTGACACACAGCTCCCAAAATGTAAGAGTTTAAAAGCAATTAGAAGCATAACTATGGAAAGGAAAGGACTGATGTGTCTGTCTATTGAACTGAAGTATGTGTCTATCGAATAGGCACATACTTCTCTTCTTTCCTGGACCTCTTCGTGTTGACTCACAGGGGAATGTAAATCATTTGGACTAAGAGCAGATTCCTCAGACGGATGAAGATATTCCACCGTCTCACCATCAGAAGCTCAGACACTAGATTCCTGCAAGGTGACCAATTGTGGTCTTTCAGGGTATCTAAAAAAAATCTGTTTAAACTTAATATAAGGAAACAACAAAGACAAAAAGGGAAAACCTAATCAAACTAATACTCTCATACTAACAGTAACTGCAACTAAGAGTACTAAAGAATCCCACAAAGATGATAACACAAACTTAGTAATAATCAAACAGAAAAACAAACAGAAAATATTCAATTATAAAAAACTGAACTGAAAATTTCACAGTTTATTAAGTGCTGACATAAGCTAACTTTTTATGTACCCATTATTTTATTTTATTTTCAACCCAATGGGCTGAAACACAAAGCCCGACGGTCAATACGCAGAC